ATCATACATCAGAAGGGGGCAGGGCTAAGCTTTGTTCACTGAGCTGAAGCCAGCTCCTACTTGGTTTCCTCCCCAAGGAAGCTGATTTGGTAAGTGAACTTTTCCCCCACTTCTTCCTGAAGCATAACCTCTTCTCTTTACCAGCAAATAAATACAACATTTTGGAGAGTTTCCATTCATTCACCTTTGGGGCAGAAAGGTAATCAGTGGGAGGAGAGGTAATCCACAGTGAGTATTTAAAGATGGGGCAAAACAGCATTGTTGACCCTTGCATTTCTTGGTCAGCAATTTTGTACCAGATTTCAGAACTTCTCTGGCAAACTGGTCAGTGTCCTCACCGCTGTCAGCATGTGCTGAACTAGCCGGGCTCCAGAGAGGCTGTTTGTCTGGCTGGGGCCCAGCGCCTCTGCAGGACATGCCTTCCAAGTCCCGGCTGGGGAAGAGCCTCTGGTGGCACCCTTCAACATCCAGTTCTAACTCCCGATTCCTTCACCTAAGACATTTGTTTAAATATGCTGCTGCTGACTGTTTTTGTCTGTTTCCAGAAGGAATCATAAACCAGTCTACGTGGAACCAGAGGTACACCTGTTTCTTTTCCAAATCTCTCAGTTTTGTGTGTGCCGGGTCTGTGAGAATAGGCTTTGAGGCGCCTGCACGACCTCCCTGATAAATGTAGGCAATACAGTGAGAAGGATGGACCCCGGAAACCTCCTGGAGGAAAAAAGGACTCTTCCTTCTTGCATACGCATCCTCCATCAATCCTGAGTTCCAGCAGCTTCCCTGTCCCTTCCACCAAACCCGTACCCCTGTAAAAGGGCACTCGCCAGAGTGAAAGGTACCCCTGTAAAAGGGCACTCGCCAGAGTGAAAGACAGCACTTGCAGCCTTGCTGACGTTCTCTGGCAGAATTTCCTTTGGCCAGTTAACTTGCACATCTGGGTCATTTTACTGCTATGACCCTGAACTTAATAGTCAGACTACAGAACCTGGGCTTATTTCATTGGCTTCTTCTTTATCTTGCTGCTTGCTACCTGATACTATCTCCGGGAAGAGTGGGAGACGGGGCTACAATCTGAATGTCTGGAAGCTCTCTGCTTTTCTTTCTAGATCCATTTCTACTTCTTAGACTTGCAGAGAAGTGGGAGGTGGTGCGGGTTGTGTCCAGTGCTCGTGGGTCCTGTTCCCGGTCCATTTTGTTTCCTTTTCCCCTTGGGGATGAGATGTTTCATCAATTTCTAGGGCATGGAGAATTATAAAGATATATATTTAATACAAATAATCCCTAAGCAACCAGTTTGTTTGCTTATGGCAGAGGGAGGTGGGGTTGGGGAAGAATGCAATGGGGGTGATCTCTAAAACTTATCATCCCATAGTTCCTGGCTTTGTCCTTAAACTTGCCTAGCCTTGCCTCGTCCCAGTAAAAATCTTTTGACTACAAGTAAGATACCAGGCTTTGGAACATGTCACAGAGTTCTGCGAATCTGGGATCTGTGACACCTAGGGTCATATTTGAGATAACATCTATTTATGCAGCCAGCCCACCTCCCACGGACTTTGTAGGCATGGCCTTATTTCACCTCACTGTGCGGTTAGGAAGTAGATTCTGTCCACGTCCTCCATTTTACAGATGAGCAAGGTAAGAAACAATCCTGGGAAGTCATTTCCCCAGCGTTACTCAGCCTGTGAGTGACAGCACTGGGTCCCATTCCAAAGGCTGATGAGCAGGTTTCACTGCCTTTTGCAAAGGTGTGGACCAGAAATGCTGCAGAGGTGGACCTAAAGTCACATACATTCTGACAGCGGTGTCAAGACTGGAACTGGATTCTCTCAAAAGCCCAGCCAGGGCTTTAATGGTTTTCAATTCAGAGAGGTCACCGAGCAGCAAGAAGTGAGAACCCAAGACATTAGGATTTTAACAAAATTCACGTCGCCTGGGAAGTAGGCCTTCCTGAGTAGGTTTCTGTGCAGTCTTGTTTAGACTGGGGGAGGGGGCAGCATCCAAGGCGCCAGGCAATAAGGATAACTTGGCAGATAAAGAACGCGGCTCTCTGAGGGCAGCAAAGGACCATTTTTCATGGGTGCAGTATTGCTGAGGGATGTTTAGCTTCTTCTTTTCTCTCTGTCTTTCTCTCTTTTTGAAGTCGCATGGGGCTGCCCCGTGGTGTTTCCAATCTCAGTTGCAATTCCCACAGTGAGAGGCTGCCCCCACCCTTCCTGTGTCCCTTGAGCTAAGCAGGCACTTCCTGTCCCACTGGAAATGAAAGTTGGAGATTGGGGGTGGGGTGCCTGTGCTTATTTACTACGCAGAATGTTAGAGCTGTCTGTTCCATGATCCTGGCAAAAAAGGCGCCAGAAAAACTGGACCGGAGATGCGGCCTCCATTCTGTGGAGAATTTGGGCCGACAGTTGCTGTGATGAAGTCCATGGGCTCCTCTATGTCTCCAGAGATTAGCTGTGGCGGCAGCAAGATGGCCTTATGAGGGAGTTAAAGGCTTCCTGTTCTACAGCGCCTCTCTCCTTGGATGGGTAAGCGGTTACTGGGTATCATTTTGACATTCCCGGTTTCCTGCACGTTCCTTTACTTGTCGAGGCTGCTTCTACAAGGACCTCCCTTGAAGCTGCTGCAGGTGAGGGCTGTGATTTGTGTTTGGCCCTTGACACTCCTGACTTGCAGTCTTCTCTAAGAATCTCCTCTGTCTTTTGCTTTCTCCCGAATCACACGCCCTTTAAATGGTCACTCTCCTCACAGCGCGGCACCAACTCGAAGCAGACATCCCCACTTGGTGGACTTGTGTGGGCATCCGCGCCAGCACTGGTGAGTTCTTGACATTGTTTCAGCTTCATGGACCTGGAAGGCTAGAGGATAGTGGAGTAAAAAGTCAGGGTCCCTTCACATTAGTAAAACAACAACAAAGCCAAACCAAAATAAACCAACACACACACACACACACACACACACACACACACACACAACCCCCTATTTGGAACCAAGTTTCATGAGTAAGCCCTATCTGGTCATATTTCCCTTCCATCCGAGGCCATCCTGGAGAGAATCCCAAACAGGAGAGAGGACTAGCTATTTCCAGACTGCTTCGCGTCTCTCTGCTCTCTGGCATGCTCCTCTGTACCCTGGGCCTTAAGATCCCAGTGAAGCTTGGCTCACCCTTCACACGCACTGTCCCGCTAAGGTTTGGGGCGCAGTCTCCTGGTCCCTGGGAAATCCTGCTGCAGCTGAGCTCTAAGAGAATGTGATCTAGCAATCACGTTCTCTTTCCGCGGAAATCAGACTCTGTTGGTCGAGGAAAGGAGATTGATTTGAAAAGTCAGGTTTTGGTGAGACCCCAGGACGCCTTTCCTGCTATTTCTAGCATAAACTTCTCAGCCTGCTCAAAACAAAACAAGACAATATCTTGGGCATTAGGACCCAGTGGAAGTGCCTCATTCAGACTCGGGTGAACCTCTCTCAGTGACGTAAACTAGCAGCCCCGGCTCAGTCTCCA